ATATATATATAACATTGTGGACCTACTAACAACTAACAAGAACATAAAATTTGATGTTTGATTATTTGAGTATTTTTTTAGCAAATATCCTTTCAATACATAGATGTTGAATCATAAGTATTTTCATATTATTCCAATTATTCTTATAAATTTGAAATTTGATAAGCTTACAAATATTTAAAGATATCCGTCACTCGAATTTAGTAGCATATATAGAATTACATTATCAAATTATTTCACATAGCATATCAGTAACATCGTGATGCTCGAGGTATGGAATAATCTATTTGTTATATATATATATATATATATATATATATATATATATATATATATATATATATATATGTATGTATATACACACACACATATATATATATATATATATATATATATATATATATATATATATATTCGTTACAAACACATACATATATATGCAGCATATTTTCATTCAAGTAGGTTTGGTTAAATAATTTAGACGTATTATCTATTGGCGTCTGTAGAAACTAACAATTCTTGAAAACATTTATATGAGAGAATTGCGGCCAACAATGAGTATAGCAACAAAGTTCTTAAATCGAAACTCCTAAATATAGCCGTCTCTTCTACTCTAATAGCTTCATGTCTCGCACCTCTCGCCTGTGGAACTCCCTTCCCTTTTCCTGTTTCCCTGTGAGCTATAATCTCCAGCTATTCAAGTGTAATGTCAATCAACATCTCCAGTTGCCTTGATCTATCCACTACCCTCATCCTTTCTTCTATCACTCCTATCTGATCTTGCTCTAAATTTTCTGTAACCCCTTGCGTCCTAGTGGCTTCCCGCCTTGCTTGCTTAAAAAAATGTTTGTAGCAGCAAGTTTTTATATAAAAATACTAAATTGAAGTGCCGTAAACAAATAGGAGGTACTGTATACATATCCACAGATATTTTAACCCCTTGAATATGATCTCCGCTGAGATTAAAAGTAATAGGGAAAATAAATATTAAGTGTTGTTTTTTCTACAGCCACCATGAAATTAATCCGTGGAACTGAAAGGATTAAAACTAAAATAAATAGGCATAATACGACTCAATTATTTGACCAAACCTGCTTGAATATATATATATATATATATATATATATATATATATATATATATATATATATATATATATTCTCGGTAGTGGATGCGCACTGCTGATGAGTCCCAAATATAGGACGAAACGGCAGTCCAGTGGTTTCTGCAATCTGTTGAGGTTTCTTTCAGACTCGATGAATTACTTAAATATAATTATCAAATCCTCCTAATAATTTCTATCATTTGTACATCATTGCTTGAACCGGCTTCTAATGCTCAAGTTTGACCGGCTTGGTGATAGTAATCAATGGCTCCTGGGGGCACAGTCCTATGGTTAGAGAGAATGTCAGTTGAGTTCCACCACGGAATATGTGAGCGAGCGGCGCTATATTTGGTCTGATTTGCAACCTCTTTGTCACCGAGGCCCGTTGGCACAGTTGGTACGACGTTTGCTTGATAACTTAACTGTCCGTGTTTCAAGTCCCAGTAGTGGATGCGCACTGCTGATGAGTCCCAAATATAGGACGAAATTCTGCTGCATTCTGTTGAGGTTTCTTTCAGACTCGTTGAATTACTTAATTATATATATATATATATATGCCAATAGTTTCCGTTTCCATTTGAGAAAATATTTCCTATTCATTGACCAAGCAGCCAGTACTTCCTTTCGTTAAAGTTTATAAAATTTTTCTCTTAAACAATTTTAGCTGTTATCGCTCTTTCCAGTATTGATGGGGGTTTCTTTCCTAACATTTTATTTGAAGTAGTGCAGTATGTTAACATCTTGATTATGTCATTATTTTCTCTTCGAGCTACACGTGCTATCCATTTTAGTAGTTGCTGTTGTTTAAACCTCTCAGGTGATGTGGTTTGTGTTATCTGCTACAGTTCTTTTATTGTATTTTTTGTAGCGCCAGTCCATAAGTATCGAAGCAGTATGATCTTCACCAAGACCTACATGCTTCACTTCACCATTTTTGGTCCTTGATCTGAGAAATCGGTGGCAAACAGCTGACAGTTTAGATAGTATTGAACAGGATTGGTACTATGCATGACACGCATATGAAAGTCTTCACCTGAAGAGGCTATTTAAGCATATGACTCGACTTTTCAGTCGAGTCATTTTCAGGTTAATGTTTTCGTTTTGTAGCAATTTGCAGTGTTAGGTAAAACTGCCACTAGCACAGTTTCTTCAATGTTCAATTTCCTTATTTCCTATACTAAATTCGTTATAACTGATCCGTACATCGAGGTATTTGAAGTATTTAGTATTTTTATGTGCTGTGTTCCTTCAAGACGTAGGCTATTATGACCATCCACATCTTCCTGTCTCTTGTAGCGCTTAATAAATTTTGTCTTTTTGTTATTTCTCCCAACCACTGTTCTGTAATCCATTTGCTCAATCCATTAAGTATGCCACGCGTTGCTTTCTCCTATCCCTCTTTTTTTGCCTATTCGTCCTGTGACTATCTAATTTTCCAAGCCCTCCTTCCTCATTACGAAACATCAATTGCCTTTTTCTGATGCTAAGTAAAAGTTTCCTTTTTGTTTCTATTCCCTCCAAAACGTCGTCGTTGCTCACATGTTCGGCCCATGGTATCCTCAGCATCTTTCTGTACAGCCGCATTTCTGTTGCTTCGAGTCTCTTCCTCATCTTTGAGGAGATTGTCCCGCATTCGATGCATTACAGTAGGACAGATATTACGTAACAGTTCAGTACTCTTTTCGTTGATTATAACGTAATTTTCCTGTCTCGTAATACCCTGCTTAGATTTTGGAATGCGTCTTTGGTCATCTCAATATGTCTTCAAATCTCAGTGTCGCACTTTCTGTCCTCTGTTAGAACACTTCCCAGTTATTTCAATTTCTGTACCTGCTTGATGTTAGTATCCCCAACATATAATTTGCATTTTAGGCTCATCTTTTTGCTGAATACCATGCATTCTGTTAGCTTTTAGTTTCTGTTTAGTCGTTTCTTCTAGCTTTCCTTCGCTACCTTCTGTAGAAGGTTTTGTAGTTTCATTTCTGTGTCTATTATCAGCACTGTATCACCTGCATATTTTATATTGTTAGGATTGTGGACGTCAATGAGGAATCCTGGTAGGATTTCTTGTTCTCTCAGAATTACCTCAAATCCTGAATTTTATAATGGATTCAAGATCGTTCCATCAATGCTTTGATACCAATTCCAGATTATAGTTTCCATTTTGGAAAGAGTTGTATTAAGTCCTATTTCTTTGAACACCTGGTTGATGTTTTATTAAAGATCATTTTTGTCTCAACTATGTCTACTAATGACGTTGTTATAATCCCTTTCGTCATCAGTACATTTGCATCGGGAGGTAACTATTTTTCCTTCTATACAAAATGAAATTCTTGTGGTGTTTATATGTTACAAAATTTCTCACCAATATTTTTTTTATAATTCTAGATTTTGTTATTTGTTAATTCATTTTCATATCGAAATATTTCTATCCATCCCACAAGAATAATACCATTTCTTATCTATTTTACATTTTAGCAAAATATTTTGATCTTAAAATGTAACGGAAGATTAATTATACATAGGTATATCTACAGTTGTTTAGTCTAAGGGGAAAAAGTACTTCACATAGTAAATATTTATTTTTCAACATAACGTCTTTCCTTGTCAATACACTTAAAACAAGGGTCAATGATAATAACGTAGAGTATAAATTTCAGATCGACATTTAGTTATTTGTCATGTTACGAACATATTTATTGAAAGCTAACTGTAATGCCAATGCTTATTGTTCGTATAATAGTAAGGGGTCACGAAATATTTCGTTTGATCAAAAGTGTTTGCAAATTTAAAAAAAGGTTCTAGAAGCCTTGATTTACAGCATTTCCTTATTAGGGATTGAAAATTATTTACCAAGAGAATTTTCGTCTTTGTTTTCAGCAAGAGAAAAAAAACACATGAGGAAAACTACAAATTGGAGATTACAAGTACAGAAGTTTAAATGTCTGGGAAGGGTTTTAACAGTGGATGGAAAATGTGTCATCAGAAGGCCGAGTTGAAATAGCAAAAGAAGCCCTCCAAAAGCTAAACAAAGTACTAAGAAACAGAAAAATTTCGTTAGAAATAAAGAAAAGAGTTCTGCACTGTAATATCAGTCTTCTTGTATTCCATTGACTACTGTACAATTTCCACACAGATAAAGAGAAGATTTGCAGCAGCTGAGATGTGATTCTACAGAAGGGTGCTGAGAATTCCATGGACAGAGCACGAAATAAAACAGAATCAGATAAAGACAACTGAAATGTATTGGGCACATAATGAAGAATGAAGGAATAAAGAATTTTGAACTTACAAAACGAGTTGAAGGTAAAAGAAATTGTATGAATTGATAGCGGAACGTTGGGTAGGATAATAAAAAGATAAATGTTGCTAAAAGGTACAAAGGATAGGAGGTTGTAGAGCGCCATGACCGCCCACGTCTTGAAGAAGTATTTTTATCTAGAAAAAGAAAGTATTTTCAGATGGCTTTTTAGAAAATTTCCGTAAGACTTCTCATAAAAATACCAGCTCGAATCAATAACGACGGTTAGAAAAGTGTAAACACTGCACTGAAACGAAAGGTCCAAAAGAGAACACTCTGAGAAAGACGCCAACAAACAAACCATCGAAGCATTGGCTCTAACCATTCAACCATCTCCTTCACTTCCATCTACCTTCGATCGATTGCCCATCCCTTCCATCAACCTAACTATGATTCCCAAGCAATACTACATCATCCCAATAGTTATTGAACCATCGATTCAGATCGATGCATTCACTAATATGTTAAAAGACCTTCCACCCCCGAATCTCCGCCATTGTTCCTAACGTTCTCGCCCCGAACCTGTGTCCGCCCGAGATGACAGCGGAATTTCGTGGCTAAGTCACGTGCCACTTACTCTAATGCGGCCCGCCAATGGCAGGTCCTTTCCGCTTGACATCAAGACGATTACGCCTGTCTTTCGCAAGAAACATCGCTCGTCTGAATCCTCTTCGGTCTTCATCCCGCGCTCTTACATCTTTGCTTCTATCCCATCCATCCCCACTAACCCCCACCAAAGCATCCTTCCTTGCTTCTACACGTTCCAACTTTCATAGCACTAATACTTCCACTACTACTACAACTACCATCAAGATCGCGTTCTCCCTCTCTCTTTCTTTTAACTATACCTGTTTATCACTCTCCACCTCTCTCTTTGTTGATTACGATGTTCCCTTTTATTCTTTCTAATACTGTTTTATTGACTATATCTCTCTTTCCATTCTTCTCTACCTTCACTATATCCCTTTCTTATCCTCTGTATATACTGGTTCTGAGGCACTCTTAACACAATCATTTTTCTTTCTTTTACCTCTCCTTCTTTCTTTCTCTTTCTATCTCTCGTCAGTACACGAACTATTTACTGGATATAAATCCTCATTCATTTACTTCTTTACAATCTTTTACTCTACTTTTCGTACGTTCCAATTCTCAACCACTTCTTAAGGACTCATATTTTTCTGTTACAACAATAACTGTACTTTTCACCTTCTCCTCATATGATATATTGTTCTTTCGTTTCTTTCTCCTTTTCTCTTTGGTATATAAGTGTCCCTTTCTTCAATTATTGCCTTTTTTGCTTATTCAAGATCCATTCAAGATTTATTCTATGGATTTTATAATATTGTTTCATAATTTCTCTTTTGTTCGCCTTCCTTCTCATTTTGTTTTTTTTTCTTAAAAATAGCTTCTTTCGTTCTTTCATTTTCTCTCCCTCTCTGTCTTTTTCTTTCTTTCTTGATATACGTGCGCCATCTCCATGTACATGCGCCATCACCACAACCTCTGATCATTCATTCTCTTAAACTTTTTTCCAGTTCTTTCTTTCTTTCTTTCTTTCTTTCTTTCTTTTTCTTTCTTTCTTTCTTTCTTTCTTTCTCGTAAGTAATTATTTCTTTATTCCATTTATTCCTTTTGAATCATATTCTATCCTACCTTTAAGCTTGCTAATATTACCAAATCTACCTCCATTTTTACTTTGCCATCTAGTATCTTTTCTTTTTAATGTTTGTCGATTTCTTTGAATCTTTTTACGTTATTCAGAAGACGTTTCATCTTCATTTATTCTCCATTTTATCTTCCTTTCAATACAGCTGCGCTCATTCTTTTTACTTTATTTGGTTTTTCTTTCTTGGTCTCTTTTTAGTCACTCACTTTCCTATTTGACCTTCGTTTTCATTCTCTTGCTTTACATATTTTATCAGTCTTTATTTGCTCCTCCAATTATTAATGAAAAAATGTTTCTTTCAGATAAATATTTTAACACTCCTTCTGTTTTTCTTGTCACAGTCTATTTTTATATCATTCTCACTTATTTTTAGTACTTATCTTCTTTCTAAAACTTTACCATATTCTAAGTTTTTTTTTTTAAATTTTACCTCACTACTATTATTTCATTTTTCTTTCCCATCTTTCTTATTCTGTCAAAGTCATTCTTTTTTTATTTTCGTTTCTGATCCTCTTTTTTACTTTGTTTCTCTCAATCAATCTTCATTTTCACTATTCCCCTCTATTTTCTTAGCGTTTGCCCATTGTTATTATTCTTCGTTGTCATAACTGCTATGATTATTTCTGATTTTTTTTTCATCGTTATAATCGCTTCATTTTTGTGTTGTTTTTCCATGTTTGATTCCTGATCTGCTGTCTTTCTTATTCCCCTCTAAACAGGTTACGATTCTTTGCGGCTTGGCATTTTTTCGAACTCTCTTTTTCTGTTTAAATTTTTGTCGTACATGGCCGCCCTACCCCCTACCAACTACGCAGCCAATATTTGTCCCCTCATCTCGCAAAGTCTCTTATCTCTTCACTGTCTTTATATTTCAGCTTTTCTCTCTTGGTAATTCGTTGTTGATTTTCTTTATATTTGCGAAAAAAAGATTTCCACTTCATGTGAATCCTTCGTAAATCCACTTGTCGATTTATTTGTTGTTTTTTTTTTATTTTACTATCTCTCAACACACCGAAATACCATCTATCTATCTATCTATCTATCTATCTATCTATCTATCTATCTGTCTGTTTTATAATCGGGTCCCCCCACAAACGGTCTGTCTAACTACTTGCTAGCCTAAGTTTTATTTTAAAGAATAAATTCCTAAACTTCTTCATACTTTTACATAATTTCTGTTGTGTCTTTCTTGACGTTTACATAATTCGTTCATTGACGAATATTATTTCTTTATTTCTCTGTTTTTCTTTCTTTTTGTGATTTCTTTCCTTTTTTTCTGTATATTTCTCCTTTTTTCATTTTTCATTCCCTATTTCTATTTAAAGTTTTCTCTCATTGTATTCTTCTTTTGTGACATTTTTCTTTCATTTATTTCTTTCATGTGACTATTTCTTCGTGTTCACGTTTTCGTATTTTTTATTCTTTATTTTCTTACCTACTTATTTTGCTGACTTTCTTCTTCTTCTTTTTCTTCTTCTTCTTCTTCTTCTTCTTCTTCTTCTTCTTCTTCTTCTTCTTCTTTCACCTGCTGTAACACACACTCGATCATGGCTCTCCACAGTTTATTGTCTTTTGTAGTACAGAGTAAGGTTTGTCGCTTTGCTATCTCCCTACTCCCTGTTCTGCTAAATATTTACACATGTTCGTTTGGGAGGTTATTCACTGCTTTCATCTGCCTTATAAGTGTCAAATTCTCCAAGACCATTTTCTTCGTTATGTGCCCTAGTAAATTCAACTGTCTCTTTCTGATGTTAAGTATAAGTATCCATTTGTTTCCATTTTCTTTAAAATTTCGGTATTGCTCACATGTTTGGTCCATGGTATTTCCAGCCTGTAGAGCTAAATTTCGGTTGCTTCAATTCTTTTCTTCATCTGTGAGGAGATTGGTCAGCATTCAGTACCACATAGAATACCGATGTTACATAACAGTTCAGTGTTGTTTTATTTGTCTATAACGAAATTTTAATGTTTCTTAATACTTTGCTTAGTTTTTAGAAGGCATCTTTCACTATTTCAGTCTGCCTTCGGATTTCGGCGTCACATTTTCAGTCCTCTGTTAAAACACTACTTTGATATTAGAAGTCATGGTACTTGCTTGATTCTGATGTTTCAAATAAGTAGTTCGCTTCTCGGGCTCTTCGATTTGCTGATAAGCATACAATTTGTCTTCTTAGAATTGATCATTAGTCGTTTTTTTTCACTTTCTTTTTTGCTTTCTTATAGATTTCCTGTGGTTTCCTTTCAGAGTCTGATTTTTATATTCAATTGGATTTTGCAAATTTATTTTGTTTCGTTATCTTTTTTAATTAATTTTCTTTAAATATTCATTCCTAAATTGCTTGTTCTCGGATCATTTTTCAATGATTTTCCTTTTTTACTTTTTTTTTCTTTACTCCTTTGTCTCTTTTATTCTTTCGACATTTCAGACAATATCTTCTTTTCTTACATTTCCGTTTTCACCTTGATCTCCTTTCTAACGACGACTTTCTTCTAATAACTACTCTTTCTACCGATGACATTCTCCTAATACTCCTTTCTACACACCCCTTTCTCCTACTACTCATTCTATCGATCACTTTCTCCTGCTGCTTCTTTCTATCAACCCTTTTCTCCAATTACTTCTTTCTACCGACCCATTTCTCCTACTACGCCTTTCTACTGACCCCTTTCTACTACTACACCTTTTTACCGACAGCTTTCTCATACTACTAATTTCTACCGACCACTTTCTCCAATTACTTCTTTCTACCGAATCCATTTCTCCTACTAGTCCTATCTAACGACCACTTTCTCCTACTATGCCTTTCTACCGACCACTTTCTCGTACTACTCATTTCTAGAGACCCATTTCTCCTACTACACCTTTCTACCGACCCCTTTCCCCCATTACTCCGTTGTACAGATCACTTTCTCCTACTACTACTCCCTACTGACCACTTTCTCTTACTACTCCTCTCTACCGGCCCATTTTTTCTACTACTCATTTCTACTGACTCTTTCTCTATTACTCCATTCTACCGACCATCTTCGCCTACTACTCCTTTCTACCGAACACTGTCTCCTACGATGCATTTCCACAGGCCACTTACTCGTACTACTCATTTCTATAGACGCATTTCTCCTATTACGTCTTTCTACCGACCACTTTCCCCTATTACTCCTTTGTACTGACCACTTTCTACTACTACTCCTCTCTACTGACCCCTTTCTCCTATTACTCCTTTCTACCGACCCCTTTCTCCTTTTATTCTTTTCTACTGACCCCCTCATTTGTTACTCCTTTATACTGATCACTTTCTTCTACTACTCCTTTCTACCGCCCCCTTTCTTATTACTCCTTACTATCGACCCCTTTATCCTACTACTCCTTTCTATCGAACCCTTTTGTCCTATTACTTATGTCTACCGGCCCATTTCTCCTAATACGCCTGTCTATTGACCACATTCTCCTAATACTCTTCTAGAGACCCATTTCTCCTACTACGCCTTTCTACTGACCCTTTCTACTACTACGCTTTCCTATCAACTGCTTTCTCCTACTACACCTTTCTAGAGACCCATTCCTCCTACTACGCCTTTCTAGAGACCCATTCCTCCTACTACGCCTTTCTAGAGACCCATTCCTCCTACTACACCTTTCTACCAACCATTTTCTCCTACTACTCCTTTCTACCGACACCTTTCTACTACTAATTTCTACTGACCCCTTCTCCTATTACTCCTTTCTACCGACCATTTTCTCCCCCTACTCCTTTGTACCGACCACTTTCTCCAATTACTTCTTTGTACCTTATCCATTTCTCCCACTACGCCTTTCTAACGACCCCTTTCTCCTATTACTCCTTTCTACCGACCCATTTCTCCTACCACGCCTTTCTAACGACCACTTTCGGCTACTACTATTTTCTACGGACCACTTTCTCCTATTACTTATTTCTACCGACTGATTTCTCCTACTACTCCTTTCTACCAACCACTTTCTCCTAAAATTCTTTTCTACTGACCCCTTTCTCCTATTAATCTATTGTACCGACCCCTTTCTCCTACTACTCATTTCTACCAACCCCTTTTTCCTTTCTACCCACCCGCTTCTCCTACTACTCCATTCTACCGACCACTTTCTCCGACTACGCCTTTCTACCGACTCCTTTCTACTATTACTCATTTCTAATGACCACTGTCTCCTTCTATTCCTCTCTACCGGCCCATTTCTCCTACTACTCATTTCTACTGACCCTTTTCTCATACTACTCCTTTCTACTGACCCCTTTCTTTATTACTCCTTTCTACCGACCACTTTTGCCGACAACTAATTTCTACTGACCACTTTCTCCTAATAGTACTTTCTACCGACCCCTTTCTCCTACAACGCCTTTCTACCGACGACCTTCTCCTACTACACCATTCTAGAGACCCATTTCTCCTACTACGCCCTTTTACCGACACCTTTGTCCTACTACTCCTTTCTACCTACCACTTTCTCCAACTACACATTTCTACCGACCCTTTTCTCCTATTACTTCTTTCTACCATCCGCTTCTCCTACTACTATTTTCTACTCACCGCTTTCTCCTACTATGCTTTTCTACCGACCACTTTCTCGTACTGCTCATTTCTAGAGACCCATTTCTCCTCTTACGTCTTTCTACCGACCCCTTTCCCCTATTACTCCTTTGTACTGACTACTTTCTCCTACTACTCCTCTCTACTGGCCCATTTCTCCTACTACTACTTTCTACTGACCCCTTTCTCCTACTATTCCTTTCTACCGACCACTTTCTTCTATTAATCTTTTCTACTGACCCTTTTCTCTATTACACCTTTCTACTGATCATTTTCTCCTACTACTCCTTTCTAGGGATCCATTTCTCCTACTACGCCTTTCTACCGACCCCTTTCTCCTATTACTCCTTTCTACAGACCCCTTTCTCTATTGCTCCTTAGCGTCTGATTTCTTCCACTTTCTGCTACTAGTCCTATCTACCGACCACTTTCTCCTACTAGTCCTATCTACCGATCATCTAACTCTTCTCCAGGCGTTAAATACCCATTTCTTTCATTTCTTTCTCTTTATTTATTTCTTTCTCCTTTATTCTCAAACCATATCTTTTTCACTCCTTCTTTTTAATTTTTGATATTCTTTTCTTTATTCTTTTCATTTCTTTCCTTTTTTCTATCTATCTTTATCCTCATCTTTCTTTATTTATTCATTCCAGTCCTTATTTGCCCTTAAATTGTAGGAAAAGTTTACACAAATTTATACGACGTACTGATAAAAATTGAGGAAAATTAATTTTTTAAAGACTACGTTTATACTTATTTTCGCTTTAATTATATACAAATATAACTTTAAAATTATTTTAATTCTCCTGGGTTATAAAAATAAAAAAAAATGAATTAAAGCATATATTAGATTACTCAATTTAATATTTTTTATCAGTATGATCCAAGTTGTCACCATTTTTCGCATTTTTTGTCACCATTTTTCACATCATTTCTCTTCGAGAATTATGCTGACACTGTCTTTGGCCTGTTCTTCTAGCTTCAATTACAGTCAAATACTCCAGGAAATGACATAACGCCTTGAATCCTATGGTTGTCATTTAGTCACTTATACTCGAATAATGAATGAATGATGCCCGTATTATCGGAAAAATTTAAATTAATTGATGATACCCAATGATCTTCAATGAAATATCAGTTAATGGTGCTCGGCGTTTCAGGGTTAATTTCTTTTCCTCTCTTGCTACTTCTCATGATACACGTCAAAATTGCCTCATCGTAAACTCGTATTCTTACTTGCCATTATATAAATTTCTTTTCCTCTCTGTTCATACATCTCTTTATATAAATTTATTTTCCTCGCTCGGGTTGTGGCTTTAGATATCTCCAAGACGTTTGACAGAGTTTGGCATGCTAGCCTTCTTCCCAAGCTCAATAGCTATTGTCTATCTGGATAAATATTTGAATTAATTAGATCGGTCGTAACAAATCGTGTAATGAGAGTCAGCTTGAACGGCTACTCTTCTAGATCATTTCATATTAATATATGAGACCTCAGATCTCTATCCATGGATCTTCATCAACGACCTTCCCGATGTCATCAGTTCCGAACTCGTTATTTACGCTGTTGTCACATATTTACGCCTGCCTTACTAATAAGTCTGACAGGTCCTATAAAGTAAGGCCGGCAGATGATCTTAAAAATTATCCCTAACCAGTCGTTTACTAGAGCGAGAAATGACTTGAAAAACGAAATTACTATCTTTTAATTGTCAGAGAGAACTATTTTACCTTCCATCCACATGGTTGATGCTAACCTCTAGGAGAGCAATTCACGTTGATCTCACGTTTTCTACTGCAATGAAGTTGAATGAATATATTGAATCAATTACTAGATCTGCTACTGGGAAAGTTGATTCACTAGGTCGTACCAGACAATTTTTCTGGCCAGAATCAATCTGGTATATTTATAAATCTACCAATTGTCCGTGCATTGAATATTCCTGCCGTGTCAGTTTTTATGTTCCTATTATATATGACAAGATTCTCGACAAAATACAAAGAAGCGACTGTAATGTTATCGCTCCTGACCTGACATCTCGACTTCAGTCACCTTCTTTACGTCTTGGCATAACTTCCCTCTGTCTTTTCTATAAATATTCAATATCGTCAATGGTAATCATCATAAATAACCACCGCATGAATTTAACCGTACTGTGAGATTGACAACTAGGTTACATCGTATTACTATTGAAATAGCTAGATGTAACCGTAAGTTCTATTCTAATACTTTCTTCTCACGCACTTGGAAATCTTTTCCAGCTTATTGCTCCCATAACATGCACGATCTTCAAAAACTTAAATGTAACATCAATCTTCATTTTCTGACTTCCTGAACCCTGGTCTTTATTGTCCTGTCTCAACACTTATGTCTTCTCATTTTTTCACAACTTCACTACCACTTGCATCTTAGTGACATTATCGCCTTGCATGGTGGGAAGGATCAAAAATACTCTGCTTGTATAGTTTTTAACCTTTTGTCAAGTTCCAACTTATTCTGTACAAAAAGATTTTAAAATGTTCTCAAACTAATACACTATACAATCATCCGAATTTATTATGGAATACGTTTCTGGCTGGTTGGGATCAGAACTTTTCAGTATCTTGTCGTGCATTCTCTCACCTATATCAGCCAAGATAATTTCTTGTCTGTTACTTTTATTTTATCTCTCTTTTTTATCTTTCACCTTAATAAAGATATTCCATTTCCATTTATATTTCAGAAAATACTTCCAAATTTCATGACTTATCTCTTCCTTCTCAGACACTCTCTATATCTTCTATTGTTTATTCACTTTCTCTTCACACGTGCTTTTGTTCCTATTCACTCCTCTCCCTACTCCTAAGTATCATTTTCTTCGTATCTTTTCTTCAAGTACCCCTGTCTCTCTCTCTCTGTCTCTCTCTCTCTCTCTATTTTCGATGCTTCTTTCTCTATCTTTTATTATTTAGACATCTTTAGTAGTCTCTCGTCATTCTTATATTTAATATTAAAGATAAATATTTGATTCATCAGTTCTGTGCATATTTTTGTCCCATCTGCTTTTCTTATTCATTTTCATTGTTGTTTTATTATTTGAGTGTCCCTAAAAGGCATTTAAAAATCTAGCATTAAACTCTCGATAATGGTGTAAAATACATTCATTACATGATTAAAATTTAACCCCAGATTGTAATTTTGATTTAAGCAAATAAATAAAAATAATTTTAATGAAAATTAATATAGTTATTGTTGTGGATTCCGAGATGAATTTGGTCTCCAATGAATAACAAACGCAATAATTAAATATAAGAAATAAAATGTATTTACACAATCATACAAAGGGTAATACTGTTAGTAAATCCAGGAACACGGTTAGTAGCAAATACAGATAGATATATACAGTCTCGAAGTAGGACTCCCTTAGAGTCTACGTGCTTGTAACTGACTTCTACAAGAGGCTACCTCACACTATCTCCGTTCGTATATTCTCTCTCTCTCTCTTTCCGACTACCCTCTCACTATCCGACTACTCTCACTGACTGTCTAACTCTGGGTATTTAACGGCGGCAGTTCAGGTACACTGGTAGAGTCCACTTATATGAAAAAGGGGTGGACCCCATAACAGTTAAACGTTTTGACATTCTTGAGATACTTTGTTATAGTAATATTAATAGTAATGGTATGTTATCCTGAACCATTAAACTAATCATTTACTTGTGCTACATTGAAGAGAAAATTATAGCAAATTTCAGTGAAGATCTAACGTCTATTCTTATTGTCCTTGATTTATTGAAGAACAAAATATCTCCATCATCCATACATTTCATTATACCTTCAATTCGTTTCCGACATTTGCACTTTCCTCTTCTTATAAGCTCGTAGCGGTTATGGATGACCACAAATATAACATGAAAAACAATGCGTCGTAGAAGTTCAGAAAAAGAAGCAGTTTCAGAAGAACTTGAAATAGCATTCTCTGGCTTGGGAAGATAGCATTATATATTTCGCAGCTTTTAAAATTCGGCTAACCAAGTAAGACAAGTTGCTTCCGATACTCAATTCACGTAAACTATGTGCCCTCAAGTTTCTATTCTGACAAAAGAAGGTAAATGCAATTCATTTTCAAATAAAATAACTGGTACTGAATAGGTTTTTAAATGCGTTTATATCGATTATTGAACTGTTACACGACTATTGAAACGTTAATGATACTTAATTAAAAATATCTTCAAGAATATGAATACTTCAAGCCGTAAAGACAATTCTCCATCAAAATCTATACACTGGTGCTAAGAAAAACCAAAACACTTGAATACATCCGACAGAAAAAACAAAAATAAAAATGTGTACGACATGTAAATAGAAGGAACGATGGCGATATAATATAGATGTTAAATTTTAACATGACCAAGGCCAAAGTGTTTGGAAGGTACCTTCTATAGATATTAGAAAGAGCTATAATATTTGGTGGACTTGCGAATTCTAAATTTCTGTAAAAACGTTTTAATAAAAAAAAGAAGTTTAATAAATTTTGACCAACACTAATGGTAACTGATAAATCAATAAATGCCGACGTTTCTTGTATAGAAACGACTATTTTCGCCATTAATATTACCAGATACTTGCTTAACATTTTCTGTTTTATCCTTCTTGCCCTACTTTTAAGCCATTTGAATTCAAATTAACTATTTTTCAATTGATCTCTTCTTGTTGATATCGATATTGATTACAGCATACTTTTTTATTCATACAAATTTCCACTTTTATTTTCTGTTGTTTTGTATACTTTAAGAATTGTCCATTTTTTCTCTTTTGTTTCTTTACTTCAAAATGGTGATCATTTTCTTCTAGTGGTTCTAATATATCCAATATTCTGTTGCGTTTTCTACCGAGCTAGCTAAGATTCTGATTTTTCCTCAAGCTTCTTGTTATATTCGGTCTTTGCTTCTCTGTCACTATCTATTTATCTATCAATCGAGCGATCGATCGATCTTCTTTCTTTCTTTCTAATCAATATATAAGTAAATAAACTAACATTATCTTTGTTCTTCTAGCCATCGAATTTTTCTTGACATTTTCCTATCTATCTATCTATCTATCTATCTATCTATCTATCTATCTATCTATCTATCTATCTATCTATGTGCCCAGGAACATCACCTAGAATACGCTGACTGCCACGCCTTTAGAAGCATAATAGTCTTTTAGTAGGAGCTAACTAAATGCTTATAGAGTTAAATATAAATGACAATTATTTACCTATCCTCGGACCAAGTAAATACCTAAACAAGCAAACAATATTTACCAACATTAAATAAACAACTGCCGATTTACATGCAAAATCACCATCCCGTATATCTACGAAGTCTATAAGGTTAGAAACAGTACCATTCTTTTATCAGTTGCAAATTGCCATTTATTACAAATTATCTTTATTTTATTTTCTATTTTCCACTTCTTTACATCTATAACGTTTTTTGATTTCTGTGTGTGGGTATGTATGTGTGTGCGAGGGCCTGCGTGTGTATGTGTGTACGCGCGCCTGCGCGTGTCTGTGTGTGTGTGTGCGCGTACCGTTGCTTTACCTTTGTGCTTTTATCTACTTATTTATCCACACCAGTTTTGTCTAACATATTTTTTTCTCAATTCTTGTAAATCTTCTTCATCATTGTCTGTTTCCCTATATTACATGCTTTTTCCCTTTCTTTTTTGTCTATTTTTTTCATTATCATTTAGGATCCATTCAGTCTCTGGATTTTCTAATTTTCTTTCATAAATCCTTTTTCATCACTTTCTTTCTTATTTTCTTCCTTCCTTTCTTTCTTTCTTTCTTTCTTTCTTTCTTTCTTTCCCTCTGTTTCTTTTACTCTCATCATCTCTTTCTTTCTTTCTTTCTTTCTTTCTTTCTTTCTTTCTTTCTGTCTTTCCCTCTGTTTCTTTTGCTCTCACCATCTCTTTCTTTCTTTCTTTCTTTCTTTCTTTCTTTCTTTCTCGATGTACCTGCGCCATCACCAAAATCACAGATCATTCACTCTCTTAGTTAAAACTTCTTCTCCACTCCCAGCAATTCTTCACTGTATGGAAGTTCTTCACATTGTAAGCTTCTCAATCTTGTCTTTTCGTCTTTCTCCAGTTTTGCCGCTCAAAACATCTGGAGGCCACCCGCTACAACACCAGCCCCGACATCGACAACAACCGGCCGCACCCCTAGCTTTTACTCCCTTTTATTCCTACTTAGTTTTCTCGATTCTATCCGAAAAGAATGTTCCACTAGGTTTGTTTTTCCTAAGAGCCTAATGCTGGTCTCACAAAGTACTTTATGCAGGGCTAGTTGGGCCGTATACGGTCTTCAATTATTGGTCGTTTTCTAGTGGTTGGTTCGGCTGGACGAGTCGAAGTGGGGAAGAGCGAAAGAATCGCTGTGGAATGGGGTAAGTTTGGAGAAGGCATGGTGTGGTGGATACAGTCTTGTGGTTTTCCGTGTTTTCGAATCCCCAGTCACCTCCCGTGCAAAACCTATGCCTTTTGCTTCTCTCGACATCTCTCCAGCTAACACACGCCATGTCTAAGACCCTACCACTCAAATGAATCAAGCATCTACAAAAATGGGGTATGTCATGCCACTCTCATTTTCTATCTTTACTCAACACTTCCCTTTTCTCGTCCCCTGTGTACGTCCATCTTTTGTCTCCTGCCTGACTTCTCTTTAGACTCTCTCTCACTTTTACCCACCCTTTCTCTTTGTGATATTTCTTCCTTTTTCATTCCTTTTTATCATTTCAATTTACATGGCATTTCACCTCGTCGTTTTTCCTCAACACTTTTCCCCTATATTTGTTTAGTTATATCTTTTGCTTTTCTATCTTACGTTTTTGTTTTTTCTTCATCTCTACTGTCAACCTAATCTCCATTCTTGTAACAGATCTCCTTTTCTCCGGCATTGTTTTTATTCTTTCTCAATTTTAAATTTCTTCAGATTTATTATAAACTAAATTTTCTCTCTGCGCTTATCTTTCGCCATATTTGAAAAAAAAATATCCTGCCTCTTCCCTTTCATCTTTCAACTCTATTACTTTTTTCTTCTTACTTTTCCTTCTTCTATCTTTTATTTCTCTCTCATCTATTGTCTATTCTTACTGTTGTGTTATTTTACCGTCTACAACTTTCTTTCTTTCTTTCTTTCTTTCTTTCTTTCTTTCTTTCTTTCTTTCTTTCTTTCTTTCCTTCTCTCTCTCTCTCGCTTTCTCTTTCTCTTTCTCACTTTTATTCTCATAATCTCTCTTTCGCCCACTCTCTTTTTCATCATTTTCCCAACATGCTTTTCATTTTTTTTCTTCTCGGATGGTCTTTCTGGACGTTAAAACTACGACCAGTTCAAACATCTCCTGACAAATCCCCCGCCCCAATCTTTTATGATTGTCGTTGCTACTTCATTTTTACTCTGATCTCCGCCTTTTCGGCCATTACAATCCACAGCTTTTTCATCTTTGTTCTCATTCAATTCACCATCCCCAGCAATCCTTGGAACGTCAGATGCTATGCATTTTACACTCTGTCAAATAATAACGGACAGCTTATGACTGAAGATGTAAGGTCCGGCCACCCGTCGACCAATTCTCAATCTAGTGCTGCGGTCAATTGTTTATCCCAGCAAAAACACATTCTTTCTTCTCATTCACTGACATTTAAACTACTTTCTTTTACTTCCTCTTTCGGCTTCCTTCATGTATTTTTGTTTTCTTTTTTACTGTAGCCATTTTTTTTTCAATGGCGTTTCTGTTTGTTTCTTCTTCTGTTTTAATCATTCCGATTTCGATTTCCATATTTTTACAATTTTTGTTTTCTTTTTTTTTTTAATTTACTTTCTGTTTTCTTTTTTTTTTTTCAATTTTCTTTCGACCTCTTAATTTTTATCTTTTTTCTTTCTTTCACTTTCTTTTCCTTTTTCTTTCTCCGACATATTTTTCTCGTCTATATTCAATTGCATCTATTTATATCTGTTTTCTCTTCCTCTCTTAGCTGAAGCATTTCTTCGATTTGTGATATCAATTTTCCTTTCATCGCCTTTCTTTCTCTCTTATTTCAGTTCATTATTTATTCCCTTACATTCTCTTCTGCTCAAATTGACACAAGTCTAGTCGCTTCTTCTTGTCACCTCTTTCTCCGCTTTCCCTTTTTTTTTTTCTGATTTACTCTTTGCCTTTTTGTCTTTCATTCCATTTTTCTTTCAGTTGGTTTCGAAACTGTCTACATCATTATTTCTAATCGACTTCATTGAATCGCCATCATAGACCACTTCCTTTGCTCCCTGTTTTCACCTATCACTGCCCCCCCCTCTCTCTCTCTATCTCTCTCTATCTCTCTCACTCTCCCTCTTTCTCTCTCTTTCTAAATATCTATCTGTCTGTGTGTCTCTTACGCTTTCTCGTCTTTGGTCTTTGACTTCTGTTCAATACTTGCTTCAGTAATCTTTACTGTGCAATTTTTACTTTCATGTCTCCTGTCAAATCATGTACCTCGATCAGTTCTGATGCAAACATTGAAAGTAAAAAGGTACTGTGCAGGTTAAAATGAAAATGGAGTCGATCAATCGCGAAATTGCTGTTCACTGTGGACGAGTGGTCGGAGTACTAAACAAATGGTCGATAAGCGTTGGGCTGTGAGCTAACGCTGTAGACTGTTGCACAAGAGCCCCTGTGGCAGAGTTGAATTTTTGAAATAGAAATTTTGCTTAGTTTAATTACCCGAATTTGTTTTAATCATTTCACCACAAGCAAGCCGATAATACCGCTAGAATGCAAGAGGTTACTAGGAATGAAATAGAAGGAAAAGACTTTAGAACAGCATTCAGGAAAACAGAAGAAAGCGATTGGCGTTGCGTTTAAATTATTTGAAGAATATAGGTGACTGGAAAGCAAGAAATCGGAAGGCACTCCCACAGGCAATAAGTGCGAGAAAAGTAACTATTAGAATAGAACTTACGCATGCGACTAGCTTGTTCAAAACGGTGAGATCTAGTTTCCATGAAAATATTTGTAGAAAAGACAAAGGGAATCCACGTTACGTCGTTACGTAATGGCTGAAATCGGGATTTCACGTCAGGATCGATTACATAACAGACACTTCTTTGAATGTTGTTAATAATTGCAAGATCTATATAAGCAGCACCAGGCCATATATGGCAATTATACACTTTTATATTTAGCAAAATAGCCAACAAATACAAATAATTTATCTAAAGTGATAAGTTGTCGTTTTATTAACCATTAACTTATAGGTAATTGAAGTCAATAAAAATTGTTTTATCTTGCAAATCTAACTACTAGCGAAATTTCTAAATTCTAGCCAGGTGCGATGTACTAGGAAATAGATGTGTACATACCGTATATTTCTGCGTATAAGGCGACCTTTAGATAAGACGAGGACAAAAAATAGAAAAATTTTATGGATTTATCCTATACCTGTAGTATAAGACGAATGCATATTGATTTTATAGAGATGATTTTATTGGAAATGGTGTTACTGTTACCTTAGTAATTCAAAAGAAACGAAATAATAAAACCAATTCTATATCATGTTTTTTTCCTACGCACGTTCTCTAAAAGGAAAAGCATTGTTTTGTTTACGTTTCATCACGTGAGCGTTTGCGAATACAGATTCTTCTTCTTATTCTTCTTCTTCTTCTTCTTCTTCTTCTAAACAGTTACAAACAACCTGGTGTACTAATGGCCATTTACTTATACTTCATATACAATCACAAAATACCGCTAATAAGAGTGCGATAATATACAACAATAGTACATTCCAACGCAATCATAACTCGATGTTTTCATTTTTTCCAGTTGAGCTTACATGGATACAAGTTGATTTTATTGATATGGAATTATTCTTCGAATAGGCAAATTATTATGAAGTTATACCAGTAATATATAAGGTAAAATTGTTTGTTTTTTTTTGTTTTTTTTTTTACTTTTATTATCAGTTTATTTGATAATGTGAATCTTTTTGCATACGTATTTGTTTATCGCTTCAAGGCCGAGGTTAGCTTACCAACAAAGATCACACCGAATTTAAGGTTTCTTTTTTAGAATTGTAGTATAAGACGACCACCAATTTTGAGGATGAGCTTTGGAATTGAAATGTTGTCTTATACACGGTAATATACGGTAGCTATAAAAATAGAAAATTAGAACAATGATACAAATCATTCCTAGAGATATGTTTATTTAAATAATATTTACTAAAAACTGTAATTGCATTAATTTTAAACGATTACAATCCAACAGGAAGGCAGATATTCGATTCCACGTTTAAAGTAAAAGATAACTGAAAGACTGTTTTCAATTTCTTTGTTTCTGGATGTTCTTCCACTTATGGAATATTCTAGTGTCCGAACCAAATGAAAAAGTGCTAAATCAGTTGATGAGTACAGAGAATATAGAATAACCTCTGACGTTCAGATTTATCTATGGTTTGGTTTATGTTGACATGCTGGAGAATGAAACCTATTTTGTTTACACTTTCGACGTAATTCATTTACCCAATCGAGTTGTTGGCCTAAAGTTCTTTTCTTATTCCGGCGTGTAGACGATAAACTAATTCTAGAGGCAGTTTTCCAGGATTCAGTTTTGTTTGGTTGCAAACTGTGGTAGTTCTGTGCAGAGAAATCCCTTATTGATGAAAGATGTCGGAGAGAATGGACAAAAAGCTGAAAGCTGAAAGTAGTTTAAATAAATGCACAGAGGCATTAAGAAGAACATTTCTGAATGAAACTTGAATCAGATAGGCTACAACAGGTAGACGAGTACTACGCCGGATACCATTCCTGTCCGCATAACTCAAGAAACTGAGGCTATAATTCGCTAAAGAAAAAACAATTAGCCAATAGATTAGAATAATGCTAACTGGTTTGATGAGTCTTGATTTTTGTTGCGACGCGCAGAAGGTAGGGCCGGAATTTGACGAAAAAACTACATGAAATCATGGATTGCATCAGCTTTTTAACGAAGGTCCAGGTCGTTGGTGGCGATTTAATGGAATTGAGGATATTTTTGGGATGTATTGTGAACTTTGGTACCAATAAAAATATTTTTTCGTGTCTAAAATGAGACAGAAACACACTGAATTATATGATTGTTTAGATGTTATTTCAGCGTTACCTGTGGTTGGCGCTATCATCCGTCATTAATCCAAGGTGATGTGAAGATAAGGGAGAGCAGATAGAGCGAGACGCAAAGAAAGAAAGAAAGAAAGAACGAAAGAAAGAAAGAAAGAAAGAAAGAAAGAAAGAAAGAAAGAAAGAAAGAAAAAAAGAAAGAAAACTGAGGCGTATTAAATCAAATATTGCAGAATATGCGGTTAGCCTAACGGGTATTTGTGCGTAAAGTAGAAACAGCGAGTTGAATTCAAACTTAGGCCTAGACTTTTACGTTTACTTCCATATGAATTCAATACTTCTCCTTTGCTAAAATATGGAACAATGGTTTAAAAAGCAGGGTTAAACGTTTTTTCTAGCTCTGGATAGTAACCCGTCTCGGAAGAAGACTATTCTGTATTTAAAATCGCCGAGAAAGCAACAGAAAATCGTTCTATTATAATTCACAGCAAGCCATGTTAATTCATATAAGGATTGTGTGGAGAGCCAGAATCACCTACGTCTTTAATTTGCATAAAATTAAAAAGAAATGTTTCAGAAATGTGAGGAGACATATAAAACAGAAACAAAATGATTAGTGTATGGATAAAGAAGGAAATGAATTGATTAATTATCAACAATATTAACAATGGACAATTCCCAAACCTCATGGATTGGAAACGTAGAATGATGAACCTGAACCCCGCCACGATTTCGATCTATGAAACTTTAATAGTTCAGTATTAATATAAGACAGAATCAATTATTTG